AATGAAAAAGTAAGTGGTATCAAAAAAATTATATAACTAATTATAAGAGTATAAATTGTAATTTAAAAATAAAAAAATATAATATTATCTTGGAATGTAGAGATTTAAAGTTACGGGTTGTACAGCTTTAAATTTGTAAATTAAGCGTGTAAAATAGAAATGAAAAATAAGAAATATAAAACAAATTAAATACGATAAGTATAAGATATAAAATGAAAGTTTTAAAAACAATTTACTAGATTTTATGTTATTTAATAATATGGGATTAAATCGAAAAATATTCAATATTTGGGTCATTTTGAAGATATCGATGAAACGATTGTATAATTTGTAAAAAGTGGAACGTATTCTTTTTAAATATATTTTAGTTAATATACGATTATGTATGATAATATAATAATGGTGTAAAATGGGAAATGAAAAAAAAAAGATATAAAGTAAATTAAATAACTAACTATAAGAGTGTAAAGTGTAACTTAAAAATTAAAAATAACTTGATTTTAATATTATCTTTGAAACGTGGAAGTTTCATGGGTTACACAGTGCAATAAGGGGTAGTACCTCTTAAATTTTAACCCATTAATAGTTTAGCATGTGTGTGTATATAGTCATAGGTTCATTTGAGAAGTGATAAGTATTTGATAAGTAAATGAGTGATCTTAGCCCTTCGTTGAGAAGTGAAGCACCACATACCATCGTAATCCTCGAATAGTATGCGGAAGATAAAAAGGTAGTTTCGTGCTTTTACAAATAGATGGCAAAACAAATGCATATATGAACCATATACATACATACACATGTGTGTGTATATATATATGTAACTAGGTAACTTTATCGCGTTTCACGCAATCGTTGTTGATTGATGAAAGAAAGCATCGATAAGTTTGAATTCGATATAAAGTGTTAAAATGTATCACAATAATTGTGTTACAATTTTATTTCTGAATGTTTTATTTTGTTAGAATAAAAAAAGTTAAAATACATTGGTTGTAGAAAAATGAATATATAAGTTTGAATTCGATATAAAGTGTTAAAATATATCACAATAATTATGGTACAATTTTATTTTTGAATGTTTTATTATGTGAGAATAAAGAGAGTTAAAATATATTGGTTGCAGAAAAATGAATATGTAGCGTAAAAGAAGTTAAATTGTGAAATGACAGATAATACATTCTATAGATATATAACTAATTTCTTAGTTTTGGTTGTCTTATTATTATAAGAATAAAGAGATGTGTAATATATTTCTTGTGAAAAATAAAAATATAATTTATAAATAACATATATCAATTCGGTATATTATTAGGTGTAAAGCCGAATATTACCTTTTATAATGAAAAATCCAATAAAATTGTGACATGGAACATGGTTATAGTAGAAAATTATCAAATTATGTTTTAGTTCAAAAAGATGGGAAATTATCATATTTTTTTTTCTTCTATGAATATCCCGAGTCCTCAAAAAATGTAACAGAATATAAATAATTAATTGTTTACAGAAATAATCTTCAAAATGAAAATAACAAAATTACCAATATGAGATATCTAGATCGACTTCAAAGTCCATATTGTGTGGAAAATTGAGGGAGTAATTCAAAATGAAAACATACAATTTCCACGTTTTGTATATCCAGTCTCATGGAGATATGAGAGCATCTAATTAGTTTTCTCGGAACTTCAGAGATGAAGGAAACACACCATCAACTGATTTTGCCATAGACTTTTCTTGTTCCTCCTTATATGGTTTATCTAATCTCATTCAGTTTGCTTTTAATCACAGACAACAGAGTGGATAGAGAGATCGAGAAAATAGAAGTAAGAGATCGAGAAAATAGAAGTAAAACACCCATAATTATTGCTTCATATCTTTGAATAGATGCATAGAAAGATAAAGAGAGGCGTACCTCCAACTATATTGTTAATCCATAATTTCTTATCGGGATCGAGAGATGGAGAAGAACAAAGAAGTTTGTGATAGAAAGATGTAGAAGATAAGGAATTGTAACGGTAGAAGATGAAGAATAAAAAAGTTTATGATAGAAAGACATAGAAGAGAATAAATTGTAACGGTAGAAGATGAAGAATAAAAAAGTTTTAGATTAAATATAAAACCTAAAATAAAAGAAAAAGGAAAGACATAAATACTAGTATAAGAAGATATCATGTCAACATTGTATGTTTCTTCTTTATATATATATATATATATATATATATATATATATATATATAACCTAAAATAAAAGAAAAAAGAAAGACATAAATACTAGTATAAGGAGATATCATGTCAACATTGTATGTTTCTTCTTTATATATAGATAGATAAAGATTTAAAGGTTTATTAGATCATTATATGTAACTTATATATATAAAGTAAATGAAAGGTTTATTCATTTAATAATATGTTTATATATATATATATACACACACACTAGAAGAGTACTCGCGCAATGCAGCGAGATACATCTCAATTTTAATGTTTTATTTTATTATTTGTCTCTGTCGATGTTATAATACGATTTTTATGTGTTTTTAAGAAAGCAATAATGATTTTATTTTTGAATAAAATATAAATTTGAA